TGCCTCCTCCGCCTCCTCCGCCGCCGCCTCCAGCCGGCCGGGCCGGCTCCCATGTTTGGCGGTGGAAGTGGCGGCGCGGCATAGCGCGGCGACGGCGCGGGCGGCGGAGGCGGAGGCGGGCGCTGAGCATGCGCAAGCGGCGGACGCGGCCAGCGCCGTCGCCGCGCCGAGCGCCGCCGCTGGCTCGACGGGAGGGGCAGCTTCCGAGACGGTTCCGAGACGGTTCCGAGAAGGTTCCGCCGGCGCGGCAGACGCGGCCGGGTCGAGGGAAGCGAGCGGGTAGCCGAAGGCCGCAAAGCGCGGCTCGAGGGCTCCAAGCGCTGTGTGGACGGCCTGCGGCGTGAGTACGCCGGCATGAGGGCGTGAAGACGGCGTTCTGCGGCGTACTCAGAGCACCGCGGGAAGACAAGGGGGGGGAGAGAGAATGAGTACGGCCGAGTACGGCCGAGCACAGCGGAGTCCGTGTCCTCTCGAGCGCTGGTTGGGAGACAAGAACACGTCTCCCGCTTCTAGGGTCCGAGATCTGCCGAGATGTGGGGGGAGATGTGGGGAGATATGGGGAGATCTTCTGCTTCTAGGGCGGCGAGCATGTCTGATAGGGCGAGATACAGGCAGATATGGGGAGATATGGGGAGATATGGGGAGATATGGTGAGATACGGGGAGATACGGGGAGATATGGGGAGATCTTCTGCTTCATGGGCGGTGAGCATGTCGGATAGGGCGAGATACAGGGAGATATGGGGAGATATGGGGAGATATGGGGAGATATGGGGAGATACGGGGATATATGGGGAGATACGGGGAGATATGGGGAGATATGGGGTACGAGAACACGCGCTCCGCTTCTAGGTTGGCCATCCTCCGCCTCGTCCCTGCACGCGCGCCAGTACTTCCGGTTCACGCCCGCAGAGATGGCGCCTCTGCCCGCCGCCGCCTCGAGCTCTCCGACAGCCACGCGGCGCAAGCCTATGGGACGTGTCTCGGACATGTCTCGGACACGTCTCGGACGCGTCGCTGGACGGGTGGCGCGCGGCGCAAACGCCGAGGTCGGCGCAGATGGCATCGATCGTGCGCTGAGCCGCGTCGGGGGACGACTACGGGAGGGGGCCGGCAGGGCTGAGGCAGGGCTCGGAGACGGCGCTAGCGGGTGGCAAACTGCAGAGCAGCACTAACCCTCGCTCTGCTACCCCCGCTGCTGCGTCGCTGCTGCCGCTGCTGCCGCTGCTGCGAGTGCTGCAGAGTGCTGCAGGCTGCGACTGCGGTGGCCTACCGCCCCTGCTGCGACCGCTGTGGCTATTGCGGCGGCTGCGACTGCGCGCCACAGCCTCTGCCAGCCGCACGGCTGAGCACGGTGCTTGCGGATGGCACGCCGCACAGGAAGTGTCTAGGAAGTGTCTCGGAGGTGTCTTGGAAGTGTCTCGGCAGCCGCGCGCCACAAACTCTTCCAGCCGCACGATTCGGACGTTGGTGAGGGAGGAGAGGTCGGCGAGGAGGAGGTCGTGCGCGCGGAGCCAGTGCCGCGCAAACTCGACCACCGACGCCGCCGACGCCGCCCTCTTCCCGCCGCCGTGCCTCGCCGCCCACGCGGCGGTCGCAAACGCAACGGCGACGGGATGGCGTACGATGATGAGGTGGTAGGAGTTCGGCCAGAGGGCCTGGAGGAAGCGCGCGCGGAGCATGTTGGCGGGCGACTTCTCGAGCCGCACCTTGGCTCCCTCCACGCCCCTCCAGTGCGGTGCCCAGTCCGCCTCGAGGCGGGCGGCCGAGGCGGCCGTCGCAAGCGGGTGCCGTTCCGTCATGTGTGCGAGCGGGTTGTGTGCAAAGGCGCCCGGCCCGCCGAGCGCGTCGTCGACGGGGTACACGCGCTGCACGTGCTGCCCCTCCTGCTCCAGCTCCTCTGGCATGCCGTCGATCACCTGGCCGGCCACCTCGGGATGTGCCTTGAGCAGCTCGGCGAGCAGGCTGGTGCCGGAGCGGTGAAGGCCGCCGACAAAGACGAAGCGGGCGGCGTCGCCGCCGGCGACGGCGGCGGGGGTCGCGGCGACGGCGTGGGGCTTCTGCCGGTCGGAGGGGTCCAGTGACATCTGTGACTCTCGGTGGCGCTGTCGGAAATCTGGCGGTTTTCTTTTTCTTTACTCCGCGCCTCTGAAAAAATAATTTCACAGACCGTTCTTTTTCTCGCGATGTCCACCCGGGTCCTGGGCGTGAGGTTACTGACCGCACTCCAAGTGCTCCAAATTCACGACCACGCGCGCGTACCGTCCAGGGGTCCCCTAGCCGCTCGGAGCCCGAACCCTGGTGTATTGTGATACCATACCAAGCTGAAGTACCGAATCCTGGGAACAAAGGCGAAAACGCGAGATGACACGCGTGTCGCAGGCGTAGGCAGCGCTGGCGAAGCGAGGCGGCCTATGATGTATCTTCTTCGGACCCCCCCCTTTCGCGCAGCCGGTCGACGTCGGCACCAATTACAGCCTAACTATTTCCGCGATAAACAGGTTTTTTTATATGATATAAGGTGCCTATATGGGCTTCCAGTATCGGACCTTCAAGACATGCGCTTTTGGCCGGTGGCCTCCTCGGACATGGTACCTCCGGTGAGATAGTGGCTGCCAGTTCGATTACACGCTTTTCTCTGCAAAGGCTATCTATATTCTTTGCATCATATTCTCTCTGGGCCCTCTATATTCTCGAGAATATTCTCGAATATTGAGAATATTTTGACCTCGCGTAGATCGACGGAGACCAAAAGTCGCTCCAAACCCGCTCAGAACCTCCAAAACTTAAAGATTCCCGAAACCTACTGTTGAGGGGGGAATAGCTGTTTCGAGCTCTCTCGTCAAGACCGTTTTAGACGCCGCACAGCGGCAACGTCAAGAATATTCAAGAATATCTTTGGACTCGAGGTCTACTAAGGTCAAGGGCTGCGGAAAGCTCGTATATTCTTGAGGGAAAAGCCGGCCGGGGCATCTGTATTCTCGAGAATATTCTCGAATATGGAAGTGCGCGGGACCCTCTATATTCTCAAAGATATTCGAGAATATGGTGTAAAGGCCAATAGCCTCTGCGCTGTCTGGCGAACGCCTGTATGCCATGCGCGCGGACCACGCTTGCGTGGATACGTGGCTGGCAGGCTGACCCGTGTGCGGGGTAACCCGCGCACGGGGAAGCTTCACGGGTTCGAGACGTCAAACATTAAGCAGCGGAGGTGTGCCGAGGGGGACCGGGAGGCGGTAAGCCGTCGTTGCCCGGCGCTGCTTGCAGCACCATGGCGATGACGCTAAGAGGTTCCTCTTTTCCGCGCCCCCCCCGCAGCGCGCGATACACACACACATTGGCTTGAGCCAAGCACACCCGCGCGTGAGCGAGCGATGAGGTCAGGCCCGAAGGCCGTACGCACCCAGGGATTCGGCTGGCAGCAAAGCCGGTGCCGAGGCGCGGTGCGCAGAGGCGTGAGCGCGCGTCAAAACGACAACAAACAAACTCTCTCAAAACGAAGGAAATTATGAGCACTTGTGCTTGGAGGTTTGAGTTCAACAGGATGACTTGCTGTACCCCTTTGGCTCGCTCCAGGCAGAGTGGTGGCCCTCTCCCTCCCATGTCCCACTGGGCCCTGCGAGGGACGCGCGCCGAGCTGTACAGCGCGGACGTCGTTGGCGTCTCGCCGCTCACCAAGGGCCTGCTCCACGTCATCGTTGGCGCGGCTAAGCGCGCTGTGCTGCTTGCGGCTTCTTTCGTGCCCGTGAGCTTCTGGCTCGCGCTGGGCCTAGACATGCACGGCAGCACGAGGAAGATGCTGGGCGCGCGCGTCGCCGATCCGAAGCTCCAGTTCCACGCGGGTGAGCTCGCCGTGCAGGAGAAGCGCGGGTCAAAGGAGAGCGCCTACGACATGGTCGTGCTCGGTGGCTTCGTTGAGAAGCATCTGGACACCGACATTCAGCGCTTCTTCTTGTCGGTGCAGTACATGGTTGTGTCGCACCTCGACCCTCAGACGGGGCTGGTCTGGGCGACGACCGCCGCCACGCTCGCGGGCGAGCACGTCGAGGTGCAAGCCGACGGCATCAAGATCGCCACGGCTGCCTTCCCGGCGCCGACAGACCCGCTGCTGACGCTGCTCGAGGGCGGCGCCCCCGTGCAGGTGGGCGTCATCGCGATGCAGCCCGAGGTGCGCCAGCGCCATCGGCTCTCGGGCGTCGCCACGCTCAGGGGCGGCGTCGTCGAGGTCGCCCTCACCTCCGCATGGTTCAACTGCCCCAAATACATCAAGCGCGTGGAGGTGGTGCCGCCGCCGGCCGAGGCGGACCGCGCCGCCGTGGTGACGTGCGCGGCGCGCGGCCTCGAGGACGACGAGAAGGCGCTGGTGCGGCAGAGCGACACCTTCTACATTGGCTCCGCCGAGCCGACGGCGGGCGCCGACGCGTCGCACCGCGGCGGGCGGCCGGGCTTCTGCCGCGTGTCCGACGCCGCCGACGGCACGACGACCATCGAGTACGGCGAGTACAACGGCAACGGCACCAACATGACGCTGGGCAACATCTACGCATACGGCCGCGCCTGCCTGCTCTTCGTAGAGCCGCGGAGCGGCCTGCTGCTCCAGCTCTCGGGCAGCGCGTCCGTCGAGTTCCCCGAGGAGGGAGGCGCGAAGCTCGACGCGGGCGACTGCTACGTGAGGCTGCGCGTTGAGCAGGTGTGCCGCATCGATCACGGCAAGGTGTGCACCGCGCGTACGCTCGCCAGCGGCGACAGCGGCGACAGCCCGTACAACCCGCCGCTAACGGGGCGGGGCGCGCCCGCGGCTGCGCTGGGCGGCTCGCCGGCCCTCGCCCAGGGCGCCGCCTACGTGCTCACTCACTGCGCCAACGCGTGCGCCGACGGCTCGACGAAGCTCTTCCACTTCGAGCCGGCGGACGGCGCGGCGGCGGCCGGCGCGGCGGTGGTGGCGCAGCTCAAAGCGCGCCGCCCCGGCCAGTTCGTCACGCTAACGTACCCCGGGCTGGGCGGCGCGCTGCGCTCGTACACGATCGCCTCGTCGCCCGCCGAGTCGGCAGCCACCGGCGGCTTCCACCTGGCCATCAAGCGCAAGCCGGGCGGGCTGGTCTCGACGTGGCTGCACGAGCAGGCCGAGGCGAAGGCGCCCTTCGCCGTCCGCGTGCTCGGCGTTGACGGCGGGCCAATGGTGCTCGCGCCCGAGGAGCGCGCGGTGCTCATGATCAGCGCCGGGGTCGGCATCACGCCGATGCTTGCCCACCTGCGCGCCTTCCGCGATGCGTCTCCGCCGGCCGCCGGCGGCGGCGCGCCGCGGCCCCACTTAGCGTTGCTGCACTGCGACCGCTCCCTCGAGCAGGTCGTGGCGCTCGATGAGCTCCATGCGCTGCACGCGAGCGGCGTGCTCGCGTCGCTGGAGCTGGTTGAGACACGCGGCGAGCCCAACCGGCGCATAGCGCGCGCGCACCTAGCACGCGCGCTCGGCACGCGCTCGCCGACGGTGCTGCTGTGCGGCCCCGAGCAGTTTATGTACCCCATCAAGCGCACGCTCATCGACGACCTCGGCCTCGACCCGGGCCTCATCTGCTTCGACGACTTCACCTTCTGAGGCGGAGCCTCGGAAGAACATCGCCAAGCATGTGTGACAGAGAAGTGGCGGGGAAGGGGGACCGCACAGGGTTTTACGTATTTACGGTCGCCTCACACACACTCATCACTATACGTCAAGGCGTAAAATGCATACAATGTGTGTCTCGCGCCTTGCGGGGGGGGAGCGGAAAGGAGGAACCTCTTCCCAAGAGCACCACTCTTGGAGCGCCGCCACTACCACCCAGAGCGCTGCAAGCAGCGCCGGGCAATGACGGCTTACCGCCCACCCAGCCCCCCCTCGGCACACCCCGGCAGCCAATGTGTGACGGCTCGAACCCGCTAAGCCATCCCGCAAGCGGGATAGCCCGCCACTCGAACCCGCAAGCGGGCGTACGAACCGCGAGCGGCTCGCATCGTGACACGCAGGCGTCCGCCAGACGGCGCCGGGGCTAGGCGACCGAAGAGGAACTACGGCAAGAACCGCACACCACCCGCTGACGAGCGCTCGCGGAACTGGTCCGCGGCGCCCGCCAGGGGCGTGCGCGAGACAGGGCTCGAAGCCCTTTTCTGTGAGCAGGGATTCCCTCCCGGCGGGGGTTGTGGCGGAGAGCCGGCATGGGTACAAGTATTTTGTGGAGGAATCGCGCTACGCCGTCTGGAGCTGGGGCTGTGGATACAACGGCAGGTTGGGCCACGGCGACGAGCAACGCCAGCTGCTGCCGAAGAAGGTCGAGGCCTTTGCTGGCCAGCGCGTCGTCGCTGTGTCGGCTGGTTACCAGCACAGCCTCGCCATCACCGCCGACGGCGCCGTCTGGAGCTGGGGCGATGGAGGCCGTGGCAAGCTGGGCCACGGCGACGAGCAGGACCAGCTGCTGCCGAAGAAGGTCGAGGCCTTTGCTGGCCAGCGCGTCGTCGCTGTGTCGGCTGGTTACCAGCACAGCCTCGCCCGCACTGCCGACAACGCCGTCTGGAGCTGGGGCGGTGGAGGCCCTGGTCAGTTGGGCCACGGCAACCAGCAGAACCAGCTTCTGCCGAAGAAGATTGAGGCCTTGGCGCGGCGCGTGGTCGCTGTGTCAGCCGGATCCGTGCACAGCCTCGCCTTCACTGCCACCGGCGCCGTTCTTGCCTGGGGCCAAGGCGAGACCGGCTGCCTGGGCCACGGAGAGGACCTGTCGAACCAGCAGCTGCCCAAGGAGATCGAGGGGTGGGCGTCGGGGCGGTGAGAAGAGAGAGAGGGCGTCGAGTCGAACCAGCGGCTGCTTCTGTGAGAAGATCGAGCTTCAAGGCGTGGGGGCGCCCACCGTGGGGAAGTCGGTGTGGAGGAGATGATTCCGTCTAGGATTCCGTCCACCGTCGTAAATGTAAAGGTCGCAATTACAGCGCGGGAACGGAGCTCTGCGGACTGCGCTTTAAATGCAGTACTATCTACTAACCCGAAGAACTCGGAGCATTCAGATTCCCATTCTCACCGAGAGGGCTCGCGTCGACGGACCGCGGGTTCCTCCCGCAAATTCCCGGAGACCCGAGAAGCGGCCCGTTCTGGAGCTGCACAACGGCTTGAACTCCAACCCTAACCCTAACCTTGACCCTAATCCTAACCCGAGCCCGAACCCGACCGAAGCGTCGCTCATCCTGATGTGTCGCCCTGTGCGCTAGCTGTGCTGTAAGCGGCGCTGAGATGCGTTGGGACTATACCGCGCTCAGAGGTCAAGGCAGCACACCACGCAATCGCAACCACCGACTCCACTGCAGCGAAACGCGGTGTCGCAGCCTCCGGCGTCGCAGCCGCCGCTCGGCTGGCCGGGCTCTCCCAGCCTCTCGGGCAACCTGTCGGATGACAGGACCAGGCGGGCGAGCGCCAGCTGAGCAGAGGAGAGGTTGTCGTCGCAGATCGCCACCGCCCGCGCGCGCCGATTCTTGTTCCGAACCTCCTTACCCGCAGCGACCAGGTTCCGCAGCTCGGTGTCTTCCACGAGGCGCTTCTCCTTCCAGAAGCCGTGGGTCGGCATGGCAGCGGCGCCGACAGCGGCGCCGGCCGAGGAGGCGCCACTGTACTGCTTCCGGCCGACGCTGCCTCACCACTTGCGCACGCTGTGCAGGATGCGGCTCCACTTGCGCACGCGGTTGTGCAGCAGGTCCATCTCTTGCAGCCAGTCCGGATCCCAGTCGGGATCCTTAGATGGGAAGTGGCGCGATACTGTGAGCCGCAGCTTCGCCTCTTTGATAATCCGCGCCGCCTCCGGCAGCGCGTCCTCCTGCTGTAGCGTCTGTGCCGGAGCGGACGCAGGTTGGAACGCTGTCGCGTTCACGTTGAGACCCGATCTTGAAAGCGCCGACACCGGCAAGTCTGCGGCTGCCATTCAACCTCTTTTTATTACCCATTCAAGCTCTTCGCCACCTCCCAACGCCGGCCGTTCCCAGAAAAAGAAAGTGACGACCGCGCGCGCGTACCGTGCAGGGGTCCCCTAGCCGCTCGGAGCCCGAACCCGGCAGGAGCGCTGGGTGCAGGTACACCAGGGCCGACGCTGTCGTGGACGCTGTCGCGGCATGCTGCAGGCGGACAAACAGGTGCTGCTCGCCGGCGTCAAGCGGAACGCGCTCGAGCTCCGGCAAAAGGAGCTCGACTTCAACGTGGAGCGGTTCACCAACCTGGCGACGCAGGCGTCGGTCATCGCCGGGTTCTCCTTCGAGAGCCTGGTCGAGCTCGAGGTGCCCGAGGACACGCACTGGCTCCTCTCTTCGACCTACTTCGTCTTTGGCTCCGCGGCGATGGCCATGTCGCTCTACTGCCTCGTCGTCTCGTCGTTCGCGTGCGTCTTTGGGCACCGGCTCGCGCTGCAGGGGCCTCACGGCTCGCTCGAGAAGGCGGTGACCATCATGGTGTCGCACCGGCTGCACATCTTCGCCGTCGCCGGCGCCTCCCTGCTCTGCCTCGTCCTCGCGGCCGTCCTCATGGCATGGATCAAGATGGGGCCGGCCGCCGGCGTCGTCTCCGCTATCTTCCTCGCGTTCGGCGGTGCAGTCTCGTACCGGATGCACCTGCTGCTCGGCTTGTTTCAGATCCCAGAGAGCCAGGTGGTCACCGGCGCTGTGCAGGTCAACTCGCCAAACGAGTCTGGCGCCGCCATCGACCTCTCTCGGCTCAACCTGAGGCCGCGCGGCGCCCGTTTTCTTCTTCTTAGAGGCACCACCCACGGTTTCTTTTTTAGGCTCAACCCCGGCAGCGCGGCGCACGCGCATGCGAGGGCTGTGCGTGGTGGCGGCGGCGGCGGCTACCAGCGACTCGCAGACGTCGAGCGCGGCTCCTCCTGCTCCGCTTTCTCGCTCGCCTCGCAGACGGCTTCGTGCTGCTCGGCGGCGTCAACTTGCGCGCCTCCGCCCTCGCTGGCCGGGCGGCCAGCCGAGATGATGCACCATGAGGGCCACCTCTTCAAGAAGGGCGAGCCGGGCTTCCTCGGGAAGCGCGAGGCGCCTCGCCGCCGCTACTTTGTGCTACGCGGGCCGCGGCTGTACTACTTCCGCGCGTGGGAAGACTACGGCTCGGGCGGGTTCGGCGGCGCGATCAACGCCGCGCAGCCGATCGACATGCAGCAACACGAGCCGATGGTGCTCGCCAGCTCGCCCGACGGGCCGAACAGGTTCGACTTGCTGCCGACGGGGGACCCGAGCGCGCGAAAGTGGGAGCTGCAGGCGCCCACCCCCGAGGAGCTCAAGGACTGGCTCGCGGCGCTGCGCGGGGCGCGCTCGATCGCCTCGCGCTCGCAGTGCTCCGCCGTGGCGGAGCTGAGCGCGCCGCAGATTGTCATGCCGATGCAGTACTAGGACTCCTCCGAGGAGGTCGGAGCTTGAGTCAAGCTCGCACGTCGCAGCCTCTCCACACTGTAGTATGAGCAGAGGGAAGCAAAGAGCCGCATCGCTCCTCCCCCTTTTTTGTATTTTGACTGCGTTGATCTTCTTTTTCCTTGTTGGTCGCTCACGTCTCGCGATGTCCGCCCCACGCCCCAGCCCCACCCCGACCCCCCCCGCGGACCGGGGCCCCCGGTCCCCGCGCACGCCCAGCTCTGAGCGCGCCGCTCGCCCTCGCGCGACGCGCGCTCCTGTGAGCTTGCGGCGGCCCAGTAGGAGTGCATGACTACACCCACGTGGCTAGAAAATTGGCGTAGTAGTAATAAGCATATATGATTTCGATGTTGACTTGTTGATTTCTCTCTGACTTTGCATTTCTGTCTGTGGTGATGCCTTTCCCTGAGAACGCACACAACGCCTCGTGTGTAATGCCCCGTGTGTTCCGCGAGTGCGTGTGCCCCGTCGTCCGTGCTAGGACGTGTGTAACACTGACTGACTGACTCGTGGCCTTCGTTCGATGGAGCGACTGTCCTCTCGAGAGCAGCCTTTAAAGGCAAGCCTTGGGGATCACGTAGATGTCGTGCGACTTGGGGTTGCGACCTGGCCAGAAATTGTCGCACGAGGCTGTGAGGCGGCACCACGCATTGCGGCCAAGGCTCCGCGGCAGCGGCTGCCAGAAGGAGAGGTAGTTGCAAGCGGGATCGTCACGGCACTTCCGTTTGCACGTCTCAAGGATGTGGGCGGGAGAGGTGCCGCTCACAAAGCCGTCATACGAGGCTGGCTTGTCGTGGCAGGACTTGCTATCTTGGGTCGGCGCTGGCACGAGACACGCCTCGCCGCCGGAGCCTTCTTCCCCGGAGCCAGAGCCTTCTTCGCCGGAGCTAGCTTCGCCCGAGCCGTAGTCGCCGTCACCAAGGTCCTCACCAGAGCCCGAATTGCACATGTCCCCGCAGGCCGAGCAGCCGTTCCATGAGCACTTTTGCGACCATGGTTGCGTCTTGGTCTCGCAGAATGGTTTGCACTCAGGCTCGGCGCCGCACTCGGAGCAGCCGTTGCAGCCCCCCCAGTTGCACTTCTTATCCCAGGCCTGTGTCTTGGTCTCGCAGAATGCCTTGCACACCGGCGCGGGAGGACCGGTCACAAGAGGAGGCATGGTAGGGTTGTACTCAAGCGGCGGAGGAAGCATGCACTCGGTGCAGCCGCCACAGCCGGTCCAGCTGCACAGGGCGTCCCAGGGTTGCGTCTTTGCTGCACAGAAGCCCTGGCATTCCGAGGAGCCAGAGCCTTCTTCCCCTGAGCCTTCTTCCCCTGAGGCTTCTTCCCCGGAGCCAGAGCCTGGTTCGCACTCGCTGCAGCCTGCGCAGCCCGACCAGTTGCAAATCTTCTCCCAGCCGTGGGTCTTGGAAGCGCAAAAGGGGCTGCAGTTGGGCTGAGGCTGTTGGAGCGGTGCGCATTCTGGGCAGATGCCGCAGCCTGCCCAGGAGCACAGCTTCTCCCAGCCGTGGGTCTTGGCTTTACAAAATGGCTGGCACAGTGCATCGATGGGTGCAGTGCCCCCGAGCACTGTGTGCGGCCCGAACCGGTCCCCGGTCGGACTCTGACCGAGGACGCATCCGGCAAGTTGAAAGGTCAGAAGAGCGCGACGCAGCATCCGAAGAGTGGAGCGCGAGAGGGTTCCGTCGAAAAGAAACGTCGGCGGAGTGGGCGAGGACGCGCGTTCTGCCGCCGACGCCCGACGGTGCGTTGCGCGACGCCCGACGGTGCGTTGCGCGATGGGTGGGGGACGGACGTGTGTTTGCTTTCGTCATTACAAATTAAAGTTAATTAAAGCCGGGAGGCGGCCTGGCGGAGCGGTCAGAGCAGCACTGCGCCGGCCGGCGATCGACCCTCGACTATAACACGGGCTCTATTGAACGGCCTCAAGGTGCTCTCTAGGGCTGCCCATTCCGCTCGCCCGGCTACGTCGCCGGGCTTCGAAGGAAAAGGTTTCGCTCGGCACGGCGTCGGAGAGCAAACTTCGGCGTTCGTCCTATAGCAGGGGGGGGAATGCTGGCAGGGCACGGTCACTTGCAGTGTTGGCTCCCAAGCAGCAGCCAAGATGAAGGAGGCTGGAGATATTGGTCTCGCTGAGCTGATGTGTGCACTAGACCGATATGAATCTCATGGCGTGCTGTGGGCGAATACGGTGCCGATGGTGGGATGAACTCTCTCTCAGCAGTCGAGAGTCGACTCTCGACGCAGGCCGCACCACAAGTCGGTTGGGCTTTCGCGTCACGGTGGGCTGCGGTTTGTAACTCGACTGCCGATCGCGCGTGCGGGCTGTACCACTAAAAAGTTGACCGTATCCGACAGCGACAGGCGCACTCCCGCCTTCGCTGTTGTCGCCGAATCGCCGGTCCGGAAAAGAATTCTCCGCGGGAACAAGAGAAACGCGATCAACGCAGTACCAAAACACGCACGCCGATTCAGAGAAGACACAACACATAGGCCACTCTCAGTCTCCCTCCCTCCCTTGAGCCTTGTTCACACCACACACACACAACACTTCACACCGCGCGTCGGGGGGGACTACGCAATGCGCTGCGCATCTCGCAGAACTAAGTCGTCGGAGACGGAGGGAGGGAGGGAGGGAGGGAGGGAGGGAGGGAGGGAGTCGAGGAGCCAGCGGGCGCGGAAGAGCTGGCCGCCTGCTCTTTGGGCGCGAGAAGGCACCAGAGCCGCTGGGTGCCATAAGTCTCGGCCTGCGCCACGAACATGCCGCACGTCTCCAACCCTAACCCTAACCCTAACCCTAACCCGACGAACCCAAAGCATTCACCGAGAGCTCGTGTCGACAGACTGCTGATTCCTCCATTTGGTTTCGGCCTTGGGCTGCACAACGCGCGACTTGAACTCTCTGACTAACCCTGATATCCTCTAACCCTAACCCTAACCCTAACCCTAACCCTTGCTCTGCCCGCCGCCACTGCCGCTGCCAGAGGCGCGCCACGCATGGCGCGCCGCGGCCCCGTGGCCCGTGTCACGAGCTCAGAACTTGTGAAATTTTCAATGAAACGGGGGCGGCCGAAACGTTTCCTGTGAAATTCACATGTGAAAGTGAAAGTGTGAAATTTCACTCACGAACCCTGCGGGGTCCACACGGCTCTCGTCTGCGGGCTGGGTGTGCCCGCCGATCGTCTGGCCGTAAAGAGAGAGAGCGTTGCGGACGCTTCATTCTGTTCGTTGTCGTCTGTGAGGTCTTTCCCGGCACACTCGAAATGCCTCAAATGTGGCATGTTGTGCGAGTATATGTATGGTTCTTGCACTTGTGCAAGATTGGGCGTCTTCTGCCGCAGTCCCTTTGATGGGAGGCCCCAGGGTGGGGGCCGCCTCGAACCCCCGGCCAGGGATTCGAGCGGAGGGTGCCCCGGATTCATCTATCCGTTGGGCCCCGGCACCTATTTTAGAACTGATCACTTTGCGCAGCAACCGTCGGCCGCCGCTTTTTAGCTGGACGGCGGTACGCTGCGCCGTCGCTCTGTCGTGCACGCTCTCGTGCCTCGTTGTTGTGACCCACCCTGTCCCACCCGTGTGTGATCAGTGTCTACGGAGGGAGTGTCTTCGGCTCACGCCAGGGCGCTCGTTGCTCCTCCGTCTCTTTGTATCGTCCTCAGTGGGGGAGACCGCGACACCGGTGACGGAGCGCAGTTGGGAGTGTCTTCGGCTCACGCCAGGGCGCTCGTTGCTCCTCCGTCTCTTTGTATCTTCCATACTGCATTTATCAGAAGACGGGCCAAAAGCGTCGAAAATGTCCCAAAAAGCGTGTCTCGAGTTTGTTGCAGCCCCACAGCCAGCGCGGGCTGCCGGGACGCACCGCGAGCTGGATACACGCACTCCCTGGGTCCCAGGGAGTGCGTGTATCCAACTGGAGTGAGTAGGCTCGACGCCGCGCTCGCTGTGGGGCTGCAACAAAGTCGCCGCCGAGCGTGCCATCGAAGGCGTCCCGTCGGAGGTGATGGAGTGTGAGACCTGAGGCTGCGGAGGTGACGCCTGAGGTACCGGCCCGTGTACGGCGACTCAGCCGGCGACCGCCACGGGCTCAGACGAGACTTGTCGACGCGTTCCGGCTCAGCTTCACCGTGGTCATCGGGCGTCTGTCGACGTCAGGACCACCCATACAGCTCGCGGGTTTGAGGTCGCAAGAGCCAAGATGGTGGCGTTTGGACATCCCAACCATCACACAAGACAGCCTGTAGGTGATGGCGGGACGGCGCAGTGTTTGTGGCACTCGGCAGTAGGCACCCGCGGCACAGCCCCGCGGTCGGCTCTCGCGGGCTGCGGAACCGGCCCCAGAAGGGGACGGTCCGGGCGAGTGTGGCAGCTCCTGCGCTAGTATGGGCACCCTCTATCACAACACTACTGATCCTGGCCATTAGAGCTGCCAGGGATAGCGTCAGGAGCTGGTAGGAGTCAAAACCCCTCATATTTGAGACATCGTGGCCCAGCCGCGCAGTCTCACGCCCGACTGTTCTTCACCTTCCTAGCTGACTAACTTCACGTGGGGCTAGCACGCACGCACACATGGCAAGACTAAGGGTAAGGGCGTCTACGCCCTTACTACAAGTCCGCCGACTAAATGATTTTCGACCGACCGCAGGGAAACGCAGGACGCCCCCCCACTTGACTGTTTGATACTATCTGTACGAGAACGGTCGAGAGCTGATCTCAACCTGTAGCTCTGTCTTCTCGCGAGAACTGTGACCAGTTGTGTACCCCTAGCCTGCCCCCCGAAACCGACTTAGCTATTGGAAGCCCACGATAAGACAACAACAAAGTACATATGATAGTTTAGACGATCTCTACATAAGTTGGGGTTGGCGCGGCCCTCACCAGACTTTCGTTAGATGTGAGCGCAACTTTCCTTTCTTTCGCGCGACAACACCGCAAAAATTCGCGACACTTTTGGTAAGGGCCAATACATACGGCTTTACACAAGCAAGTGCAAGACGGCGTATCCGTATTTTCACACGCAGCTACGTCCCGTATGTCCCAGAACGTGCGGCCACATCTCGGAGAGAGGAAGATGGGAGGTCGGCCTTGAGAGCTTACGGGGGTCGCCCGCGCCAATCTTACAACAAAACTCCCTCGCACAACACTGGGCCATTGATTGATGGGAAGGCGAAACACAGTCCGACCAACGACTGGGACACCAACGCGGTATGGGTGGACGCTAGACGGGCGATGACGGTCACACAGGAGCGACACACAGAACCACAAGACAAGACACTCAGCCAAACTGGCTGCCACACATCCTGAGCGAACTTCCCTAGTCACCCGCGGCCGGACTCCATCCGGGCCAATTAGGAAAGCGCGCATCCGCCCAAGGGGCGTAATAGCCCGAACCCTTCACGCAGAGCCTGAAAGACCGCTCGGCACCACCGCGCGGGCAGGGTCACCTGCTCCCAGTCGCTGCAGTGGGCATCTAAAGATTCCGTGCAAGCAAGCCGAGCAGCCTGCCGGTCCATGCAGCCGAGCCAGCGACGCCCGCGGCTCCTGGCCTCGCCGGCGCGAGCGCAGCAGCTCCTGGCGTGGCAGGGCTGCTCTGTCCTCCTCACCGCCACCGGCTTCACCTCGCAGCGGCTCGCCGAGCGCGGCATCGCCGCGCCGACGGCACAGAGTCTCGCGGTCTACCTAGTGCTGATGCTGCACGCGATCACGGCGCGGCGCGACAATCGTGTCGCCGGCCTGCCGCCGGTCGCGAGGCCGTGGTGGCAGTGGCTGCTGCTCGGCTTCGCAGACGTCGAGGGCAACTACCTGATCGTGCGGGCGTACCAGTACACTGACATCACCTCGGTGACGCTGCTCGACGCCTTTGCCGTCCCAGGCGTGATAGGACACACCTGAGCCACATCTCGGCCATATCTCGGCCGCATCTCGACCACATCTCGGATTAGCCTCGGCCGCATCTCGGCTACACCTCGCCGTCGCTGCCCCAGGCGTGATGGCGCTCTCGGCCCTTACGCTCGGCGCGCGCTACGGCCGCAAGCAGATCTGCGGCGTGGCTCTCTGCGTCTCCGGCCTCGCGACGCTGGTGATGTCGGACGCGCTGCTGCGGCCAATGCACAGCTGGCACCCCCAGCCGTGGCGGGGAGACGTGCTCTGCCTGGTCGGTGCCTCGCTGTACGCCTGCTCCAACGTGGCCGAAGAGGCGTTTCTGCGCTCCTCCTCGGTCTCCAACTATCTCCCGCGGCTCGGCGCCGCCGGCGCTCTCCTCTCGGCGGCGCAGTGCGCGCTGATTGAGCGCGAGGCGCTGGCCTCCGCGTGGCGCGCCTTCTCCTCCGCTAGCGTGGCCGGCCGCACCGAGCTGCTACTGCTCGAGCTGCTCTTCGTCGGCTCGATGGCGACCTCCTACTCGCTGGCCTCTTCAGTGATGACCAACAACTAGTAACGATCAGCGGTGAACGAATAGGCGTCCTCCTACTCGCTGGCCTCTTCTCAGGAATGACCAACAACTAGTAACGATCAGCGGTGAACGAATAGGCGTCCTCCTACTCGCTGGCCTCTTCTCAGGAATGACCAACAACTAGTAACGATCAGCGGTGAACGAATAGGCGTCCTCCTACTCGCTGGGCTCTTCTCAGGAATGACCAACAACTAGTAACGATCAGCGGTGAACGAATAGGCGTCCTTCTACTCGCTGGTCTCGCACCTGCTGCAGCGCGGCGCCACCGCCGCGGAGATGAACATCTCGCTGCTCACCTCCGACTTTTGGTCTGTTCTCGCCGGCGTCGCACTGCTCGGCTCGCGGCTGACCTGGTGGTACCCGCCCGCGTTCGTCGCGACGCTCTCAGGCCTCGTGCTCTACTACCACCGGCCAGCGCCGTCCGCCGCCCGGCAGCTGACCGAGCCGCTCAACGCGAGGCCGAGGGCCGCGGCGCCGGTGGGCGCGATGGAGGAGGGCGGCGCCGGCTTGCGCGAGGGCGAGGGCGAGGCTGGTCATCGCGCCGACGCCGCTGCTCGTGCCGGCGGCCAGCCCGATGGCCGCGTCGAATAGCCGAGGCTATTTGAATCCTGTCGCCGCTGACTGCTGTCGGGCTGTGCTTGGGGGAGTTTTGTGCGATCGAGGGTCCTGCCCCGACCTTTTATCGTTTTATCTGACCTGTCCTGACCTGACCTTAGTGCTGAGCGCTCTGGGGGGAGTCGAGGGCCCTAGGGGAAAATGTACAACCCTCACGGGGGAAAATGTACAACCGGGGGTAACCATGCGGGAGGGAGATGGGGTCTCCCAGCCCGCCGCAGGCGCCGATTTTTTTTTGCATTTTTTGCGCGATTTTTTTACTTCAAGCCGAAGGCGCTCCGCCGTTCGTTGGAGGCAACTTCTTGGATCTTGGCACAACCTCGATGCGAGTCGACTGGTGTCTCGTCGTGGTTTCGTATCAAGAATACGGCGACTCACTCACACTCTCCTCAACGCTTCCTACCCAACGCCCCCCCCCCCCCTCTCTCCCTGGCCAACCTCCACAATGTCCATCTCTCTCTCCTCTCTCTCCTCAGTCTCTCTCGACTCTCTCTCTTGCTCTCTCGACTCTCATCCTCCATCACTTCCCCGCCGCGCCGCCGTCGCCGCCGCCCGTGCTCTTGTTCTCCGCCGCCTCCCACTCCTCGCGGCTGACGGCGCCGTCGCCATCCTTGTCCAGCTGAGAAAACACGTCCGCCGCCGCGGCCGGCGGCGGCGGTGGGGCAGCCTCGGCGCGACCCTCGAGGCGGCTCACCACCTTCATCGCCTCCGCCACGGCTGCCAGGCGAGAGCTGAGGTACGCGCCTTCGTCCGACGCGCCGCCCTCCGCCGCAGCGCCGCCGCCCTCCGCCGCCGCCGCGATGCCGGCAGGTTGTGGGCGGCGGCCGCGCGCGCCGCTTGGGCTTATGCCTCCAAGCCGCTCGGCCGCCTGCAGGAACGTTCCGAGAAGCTTCCGAGAGGGCGGCGGCGGCGGCGGTAGGGCGGGGGGCGGCGAGAGGACGGCCCTTCTCCTTCTCCTCGCCCTCCGCCTCTCGATCTCGGCTGTCTCGCAGCGGTCTCGCAGCGGTCTCTCGGCGGTCTCTCAGCGGTCTCTCGGCGGTCTCTCGGCGGCCTCTCGGCTGCCTCTCGGCTACAACGGCGCGCCTTCTCCTTCTCCTCGTCCTCCTGAATGGCGCGCGCCGCGGCGTTCCACTCGTCGACGGGGTCCTGCCTCCGCACGATCGCCAGGTTGGACAGCTTGGCCTGAGAGGACGGAGGGCTCGCTTGGGGGCGGCCTCTCGGCGACCTCTCGGCCATCTCTCGGCCACCTCTCGGCCATCTCTCGGCCACCTCTCGCCCGCATCTCAGGCCGCATCTCGGGCCGTATCTCGGCCGCATCTCGCCTCGAGATTGTGGGGTTGCACCCATGAGATGGACCGAGTGCCGTCGGTGAGGCCGCCGAGCCCGCCCCGCTCAGCGCGGCCGCTCACGTCGTTCCTCTCGAGGAACTGCTCCAGCCACGCCCGCCCCTCGCCCGCGCGCGCCGCATCGAGCCGCTCCCTCTTTGCCGCCGCGCGCGCGCGGTAGCGCTCAAAGTCGCGCCGCGCCTCCGCCGCGAGCTGCTCCACCTGCGCGGCACGCGCGGCGCGCACCTCGTCCTGCGCGGCGGCACGCTCCTCGGCGGCGCGCAGCCCCTCGGGCGTCTCGGTACGCTCCCGCTCCGACGCGCGCGCCGCCACGTGCGCCGCGCGCCGCGCGAGCAGGTCCTCCTCCTTGAGCGAGCGGCGCATGTCGCGCAGCTGCTTGCGGAAGACGCGCCGCTCGAGGGCGTAGCGCGTGTCGCCGCGATTGGCCAGCCTCCACGTCGCCCGCTCCGCCTCCCAGGCGGCGAACCTCGCCGCCCGCGCAGTGGACATGCGAAAAAATAATATGCGCGACGCTTCGGCAACTATGCAGAGTCGGCACGCGCCGTGGTGTACGACGGCACGTGCGTCACCGCGGTGCACCATGACAGGCTGCGCCCGCTGGCGAGCGGCAAGCGCCTAGCCACCGACTACGCCGAGGCGACGAAGCGGAAGGCCAAGGCAGCGGCGTGCGACGCCAAAAACTGCGACTTTATGACGTGGGCGGCGAGCACGCGTGGCGGCATCGGGCACGAGGCGGCGACGTGGTTCAACACCAACTTCGACATCAAGGCCGCTAAGGCGTCCTCCGACAGCGAACGATGGCGGGTCAGTAGCGAGCGCAAGCGCTTCCTGCAAGTGCATTCGACCATCGTCGCGAGGCGCAACGCCGCCATCTTCGACTACAACGCGTGGCCGAAGATGGGCGGCGAGATGCCGCGGGCGCCTCGAGAGCAGTACGAGTAGGGACGGGCGAGGGAGGAGGGGCGCTGACCACGGGCGACTACGAGTCGAAGGTTCGAGGACGACTACTCGCCGCCTGGGTCGTTTGGGGCGTCACGGCGCTCCAGCACGCAACCCAGAGCGGAGCAAATGCGGAGGTGGCAGAGCTGATACGACGCGCCGTGTCACAGGGGGGGACTTAAATGAGCCGCGCGGGTAGCGGCCTCGCGGCGGTCCGGCGCGGGGTGGCGCGTGGCGGGTAGAGGGCGGCTACCCTGCCGCGCCGGGACGTCGCTGGGGCGAGGAATCGGCGGCCCAGCAGCTCTTAAAACCTGCCATGGCAGGTTTTAAGCCGTTTAAGCCGCAGGCGCCCCAGGGCCCACCCTTTTAAGCCTAGGGGTACCCTAAGGGAAAGCGCGACCGGAAAACAAAGAAATGCTCGGACCGTCACCGTCACCGCCGCCGGGGCGAGGGTGCGCGATATTGCGCGATATTGCGCAATATTGCGCGATATTGCGCGATATTTTGCGCGATATTGCGCGATATTGCGCGATATTGCGCGATATTGCGCGATATTGCGCGATATTGCGCGATATTGCGCGATATTGCGCGATATTAGGCGATACTCGGCGATCATTCACGATATACAGAAAATTTCCGCTAGAGCAGGGATGCCATGGGAACCCCCCCCCCCCCGCCGCGCGCGCGCATGGACACCCTCTGGGGCCCCCGCGCGCGCGCCGGCCCAGAGAGAGGGGCGCTGCGGCCTGGGGCGGGCGCGGGGCGGCGGGCGCTGTGGCTAGTTCCATTTCACTCTGACACGCTAATCTTGAAAACGTCCAACGGAGCTCCGTGTTGCTCCCAGCGCCCTCCCCCGCGCTTCCTGCGGCCCTAGCCGATGGTACTAGCATGGGAGGTCATCTGGCTACCGCGAGAGCGACCCAACTCGTCGACATCGTCCGATGATGGTGCCTCAAAGTCAGCCTTCGGAGGCTATCGTGGGGTCGAGCCGGCAGTAGCCGTGACATGTGGTTCCACCACCCCTCGTAGTCTTTGCCTCTGACCGCCACCGTTCCCAGGCTGCCTAATGGGATGGAAAGGAAGGCTCGGCGAGCGTATAGAAGCGTGCTCGACCTCGTCGTGGCAACCTGCACGGCATCGCTGGCAGGCGCGATGAGCGTCGTGCCACCTGACCCGAGACGGGTCGCAGGCGTCGTACCGAGCGCGTCGAGACCGTGTCCTGATGTGATCTGCACGGGTGAGTCACGTCGGCGTCAAAGGAGCGACGTGCGACCTGTCAGAGCTTGATCTCCGATCTCAGCGGCGGCGAGTCGTCTCCGGCGCGCGACAAAGGTACATCCCCAGGACGCGCAGAGGCAGCTGCGACCCAGCGGAGTGGACGGTAACGCACCGCGCCACCTGCTGTGCGTTCCCGTCCACTCGGCGGGGTCGCAGCTGCCTCTGGAAGGCACCGAGATGTACCTTTTTCGCGCAATGGTCAAAATCAAGGTTTTGTAACGCGAGCTGTGCCACAGTGAAATGGAACTAGCCTGTGAAGCCTCTGAACCGCTGTGAGTGTGTGTGTTGGTCTCACGCCCAATAAGCAATCGTCGCACGGCGCGCGCACGAAAACTTGCTCCAGGAAGAATCCAAGAACCCAACGGAAAATGAGGCGCACAGAAACGAGCTACGAGGAGAGGGCAACACCGGGGAGACTCACAGCATGGACACCAAAACCGGCCGAGCCACCGCTTGGCAGCTGGCTGCCCCACACCCCCCCTGGGCTGCCCCGGGGTGGGGCCAGAGAGGTTGATACGCACCCCAGGCCAGCGGCGGCGCCGATCGAGGGACGGTGGTCGCCGCTAAAAGTACGGGAAGCCCGTGGCGCCATGCGAGAGCGCGTCCTGCGTGGCGAGGGCCAATGAGAGCAGGTTAGGGTCGCGGCGATAGCGATAGGGATAGGGATAGGGATAGGGATAGGGATAGGGAGAGGGATAGGAAGAGGGAGAGGGATAGGGATAGGGATAGGGATAGGGACAGGGAGAGGGACAGGGAGAGGGAGAGGGATAGGGAGAGGGAGAGGGATAGGGATACGGGCTAGGGTTAGGCGTCAGTAATGAAGGACGAGGCCCGAGAAGAAGGTGGCTGGGAGGTGGCTGGGAGGTGGCTGGGAGGTGGCTGGGAGGTGGCTGGGAGGTGGCTGGGAGGTGGCTGGGAGGTGGCTGGGAGGTGGCTGGGAGGTGGCTGGGAGGTGGCTGGGAGGTGGCTGGGAGGTGGCTGGGAAGAGTCGGAAGTGTCTGGGAAGAGTCTAGGAGGTGTCTAGGAGGTGTCTAGGAGGTGTCTGGGAAGAGTCTAGGAAGTGTCTGGGAAACTTCCTGCGTGACGAGGCCCGAGAAGGCCATCATGGCAAGTCGGGAGTGCTTGATCTCGGCAAGCTTGAAGCGCTCGAGCTTCGCCTAGCCGGGGAGATGTGGGGAGATGTGGGGAGATGTGGGGAGATGTGGGGAGGTGTGGGGAGGTGTGGGGAGACGCGGGGAGACGCGGGGAGATATGGCGAGATATGGCGAGATGTGGGGAGATGTGGGGAGGTGTGGCGAGGTGTGGCGAGGTGTGGCGAGGTGTGGGGAGGTGAAGTGTCTAGGAAGAGTCTAGGCAAGCTGCGCCGCGTCGCGGTCAAAGCCGCAGGAAGTGTCTAGGAAGAGTCTAGGCAAGCTGCGCCGCGTCGCGGTCAAAGCCGCCGGTCAGCGCAAACTCGCCTGGCAGGGAAGGGTGCGGGGCGGTAGGAAGGGTGCGGGGCGGTAGGAAGGGGCGGTAGGAAGGGTGCGGGGTGGAGGGGGGGAGGGCGGGGAGGGGGGGGAAGGGTGTGGGGCGGGGTGGGAAGGGTGTGGGGGCGGGTGGGGAGGGTGCGGTGGGGAGGGGTGTGGGAAGGGTGCGGGTGGGGAGGAGAGGGGGCGGGGAGGGTGCGGGGGCGGGTGTGGGGAGGGTGGGCCCTCACCCGGCTTGCGGTCACCGCCGTTGAGTGTCGAGGCGATGGCACCGGCGCCCACGATCTCGAAGAGGCCGCAGGCGAGGAGCAGGGCCCACATGTGGCCAGACTGCACCTGCGGGGGGGGGGGGGGGGGGGAAGTTTTGGGGGAAAAAGGGAAAGGTGGGGAGGTGTGGGGAGACGTGGCACCGCCGCGTCGTGGGCGGTGAAGCTTGACGTCGCCGCGACCTATCCCTTTCATCGGATTTTGGTGCCGGGTCTGGTAGGGTACCCGGCGAGCTCGGCGTCGGCGCGACCAGCTTCTCCGCGCCGGGCGCCTGGAGAGACGGGGGCGGGTGAGGCAAGGGCAGGGGCAAGGGCAGGGGCAAGGGCAGGGGCAAGGGCAGGGGCAAGGGCAGGGGCAAGGGCAGGGGCAAGGGCAGGGGCAAGGGCAGGGGCAAGGGCAGCGGCAAGGACAGGGGCAAGGGACGGCAGAAGGCGGCGAGGCCCATTAAAGTGTCTAGGAAGTGTCTAGGAAGAGTCTAGGAAGAGTCTAGGAAGTGTCTAGGAAGGCGGCGAGGCCCATTGAAGGCAGTGCGGAAGGGATGAGACGAGAAAGCGGCGTTGTTGCGGCGGAATTGGCCGGGTGGTGGGGGGAGGGGAGAGAGGGCGGCAGCGAAGCTGGCTGCGCAGCCCACGCCCCAGGCCACACACAGCACACGGGCGGCGCACCCGCAGGCCCTTGTCGACCACGATGTATCCCACGACGGCGAGCATGCAGACACGGCCGTGCTTCAGCTCCGCCTCGCGCATCCACTCGATGGGCAGAATGTTGGAGAGCCCGAGCGGGTCAAAGCCTGCGGGGCGCGGAGGCCGGCGTGAGCCGCCGCGGCCCCGGCCTCGCCCGATGGCGGCGGCGTGCGCGCGCCGACGTCTCCGACAAGGGTGCCGTCGAGCTTTGCGGGCCGCTCGGCAAAGGGGAGGGCCTGCGACTTCTCGACCGGGGGCGCCAGCCCCATCGAGGCCGCGCCGCGCAGCGCGGCGGCGGGGCGGGCGAGGGCCGGAGCCGAGAAGGAGAGCGGGGAGGAGGCGAAGGCAAGCATCGGCGGCGGGGAGAAGCAGCCCAGCTGTTGCAATTTTGGAAAAGAATTCTTAAGACACAAGCCTCTCTCACAGCACTTCTTAAGATACAAGCCTCTCTCACAGCACACTGGCACGACAAGGGCGCAGACTGGCGCGGACTGGCACACAGACAGGCTCACCACAAAAGAATTCTACGAATACAAGCCCCTCTCACAGCAGACTGGCACGAACTAGCACCACAAAAGGCACAGCAGACAACGGCCCCTTATGGGCCGTCGAAGAGGCCGTCATACTCCTCCGGCCTCGCCCCCCCTTCCCAACCCTCCCCTGGCTCAGGCTCCTCATCCTCGCGGCGCGCAGTGCGCACCCCGCCCCGCGAAGACGAACCCTTCCGCCGGCGTGCCTCGCGGGACTGCCGCCCGCTGCCGCCGCCCTTCCCCCCCTCCGCTGCCCGCGCCGCCTTCTCCGCCGCCCGCGCGGCCGCCTTCGCCTCCTCCGCCGCTAACAGCGCCTCCCTCCGCGTGACCCCTATGGGCCCCTTGCGCATCCAGGAGAGGTCGCGCGAGCGACCTATCCAGGGGTTACTCGGATACGGCGCAACGTAGCCGCTGCGCAGCTCCGAGTAGTCGCCAACGCCCCCCCCCAAATAGCCCTCCAAGCAAGCATCGCAGACCCACTCGCCTAGCTGAGAGATCTGAAGCCCATAGGCATCAGAACCCTCGCCGCGCCGCATCTCCTCCTCCGCCGCCTCCATCTCCTCTCTCGACCAGCCCCCCAGCTCCGACCAGCCCTCACGCATCGCCCGGCGCCACAGCCACGGCTCCACGTCGTACTCCTTGTAAAAGTTCTCAAAGCAATCCTGACACTCGAGGCCTGGGCCTCGAGCGTCCTCCGCGGAGACGGGGTTGTCCGTGCTCGCGCCCGCCCACTCCTCGAGCGTCGCCGCTACGAGCGCCCCGTAGACAGCGTCGACCGCCGCCTCCGCCAACTTCGCCGCGCCTGCACGTTTATCCTGTCGTGTCCCTTGTCAGGAGCAGGAGAGCCCCACCTGTCCCCCTGATCGTCCTTCCAAAATCCTGCTCGTGCATGCGGAGAAGCCTTTCCCACCCGCCTCCGGCGCGACATCCACGTCCGCGCGGCGAAGGTAGGAGAGGCGCACGACATCCCGCCGGAGGCGAGACCGCGCCTGGCGGCGGCCTATATCTTAGTTGATGCGGACGCCCTTTCGCCGTACGAGGCGGGGGTGGCAGCGGGAGCGAGCCGGCTGGTGACGCGTGGCGAGCAACTAGAACACAGCACCTCGTCAGAGCAAAGAGCGTTGCTGGATGCGACCCGCGAGTGCGCTGACGCCATACCTGACGGCGCGGTGGTGGTAGGGTCCACCGACAACGACGCGATGCGACGAGCCTTCCTGTCCACGTGCCACCGGAGCAAGTCGGTGAGGGACATGGTCCGAACGTCCGAAGCGGGGGTGCTCCGAGAGCAGCTGGACTGGTGATCGACGGATGCAACGACCGAGGCATCGACTTTGTCACCTCGTGGGAGCAAGCGTACCACAACCGAGGCCAAAGACAACGGTGGGACGGCAGGACAGGGCTGCTAGCGAGGTTGAACCACGGGTGCGACTTACTGGCGGGACACCACGCTCAACGTGGGCGGAGTAGGGAGGTCGACTTTTATACCGGTCAAGAGGTCAACAACAACCCCAACCTCTACAAAACTCCCCAGTGACCAAACGACGAGCTGGAGAGCTGGCGACCGCGGTAAAACGTCTCCACACACACAAAGTGGTGGGGCACGGGCAAGGGGGGGCGGGGGGCGACCCTGCATCTCCACGCCAAAGAAAATATTGCATCCACATAATCTACATACGTACATAGGCCGGTGTGAGCATGCGCGCGCGCAAACGCGCAGAGACAGGAGCCACGTCGGGGGGAAGAGCAGTACACTGCCACACAGGCGTAAGACCGTAGGTACACACTTAATGAACATGTCGGCATGTCGCTCGGGTTTGCCCGCCGCGCCACGCCTTGGCCTTCCCTCGCCCTTTCACCAGGACACACCCTCGCCTCGTCGCCCGCGTCGACCTCAGGTCGACCTCGTGTGGTCCTTGGACCTCACTTGGCAGCAAAACTGCGCACCGTCCAGCACATGCCGCCGTTGGTGACGGGGTCGGGCTTGAGAGGGTGGGCGTCGCACGTGGGGTTGAAATCGACGTCGTGCTCTTCGTTTGCGTCGCGGCAGGTCGCAACCTACGGTGGAACTCTCTCGGCTGCAGACCATGGGTAGAGCCCAGGCGCCTCTCTCGGCGGGAGGTGGAGACCTCGTCCCCGCTGACGGGCTTGCGGTAGTCACAGCGGTTGACGACGCCGTACATTGGCGCGCCCCACCTGCAAAGAGGGCGCGGGTCAGAGACGAGGGAAGGTGTCGGAGGCGGCGCGGGCGAAGGGCGCCGCTCACCCGCAGCAGCAGTTCAGCGTGCCTGTATAGCCTCTAAAATGGTGATCGCGCACCCACCAGCCGTACGTGCTGTCATCGTCCGAGCCGTGGCAGTGGCCGTCCGTGTCGAGCTCGTCCGCATCAGGAGTGGCGCAGTTGGCAAAATTGCAGTCGCCGTAGCTGCAGTCGCCCCAGCCGGGCTGCGGCATGATGCGACAGAACCAGCCTTGCCCGCCGCAGTCGATCGGTCCGTCGAGGTAGGCGGCCTTGACGCCCTTGGCGGCGCACGCACCGGCAAGGGCGCCGGGGCACGCGCCATCTGCCGGCAGGATGGGCTCGGCGGGCGTGTTGTCGTGGTAGCGGACGTTTGGGCCGTAGGTCTCCAGGTCGTCGTCCCACGGTGGCCCAGCGTCATCGCGGCACTGCTGCGTGGGCCCGTCTGGACTTGGGCACCATCCGTCGCTGTCGCAGCCGGAGGAGGGGGAGGCGGATGGCGAGGCGGCGACGGGCGGCGGCGGAGCAGCCGAGGAGGGCGGCGGCGGAGCAGCCGAGGAGGGCGGCGGCGGAGCAGCCGAGGAGGGCGGCGGCGGAGCAGCCGAGGAGGGCGGCGGTGGAACAGCCGACGGCGGGGGGGCGGCCGCCTCGCTCTCCGTGCCTGACCAGATCAGATCGCGGTCGTGGCCGCAGCCTGACCCGCGTGCGCAATTCCCCTGCAGCTCCGCCCGAGTACACAGGCGTGCGCCCGCGTCCTCGCAGATGGTCGAGGCCTGCGCAAGGTTCTTGTTGTGGTGGCACTTGCCTCCCATCTCATCGTCGTCGGACTCGCTCCACACGGAGCACCCATCTTTCTTCTTCCAGCCGTCGATTCGCGAGTCGGAGCAACACCGCACCTCGTGCTTCTCGGACGGAGCCGCCCACCGGTCGCTCTCGTCGCACCGGCCAGTCCTGCCACACGCCACGTAACGTGGCGAGCCCGCAGGCGGCGCAGGTGGCGGCGGCGTCGCTGCCGGCGAGCAGCACTCGTCGACGAGCGGCGCTTGCCACGGGAGTTCGAAGACCTTGCGGAAGGTGCGTCCTTCGTCGCCTGAGAAGTACAACGCGTAGTGGCTGGCGGCGAAGAGGGCGTGGTCGTTTGCGAAGTTCGGAGAGAAGGCGAGTTTGCCGTTGAAGCCTCTGATGGGAATTTGCTGGATGCTAGACCCCGCGCGCCAGAATTTCGGCGGGAGTTCCGCGTTGGCGTCGTCCCTGGACGGGCCTCTCACGTGCCCAACGAGCGTGTGCGACTTCATCTGCGAGCCCTCCGAGTGCCGCCGCCGCCGCCGCCGCCGCCCGCACACTCCTCTCCCGCTGGCGCCGAGGCAGTCCGGCAGGCGGGGAGGGAGGGCCTCACTCTGGTCACCAGCAGCAGCAGCAACACAGGCTACAAATGCGTGAGCTTCTGCTCGAAGCAGCACGGCAGTAAGAAGTACCAGCTGCGGGAGGGCGTTGGCGGCAAGAGGAACTTCCTCGGCTGGTTCGCCACCGCCGAGCAGGCGGCGCTCTTCTACGCCCGCAGGCAGGCGGGCAGGGACACCAGCGATCTCACCGCGCCGCCGCCGCCGCCGCCGCCACTGCCGCCGGACTGCCTCACCGCGCTGGGCGGCGGCGCCGCCGACGGCGTCGAGGGCTTCGACGGCGCGGGCGAGGAGAGCGGCGCGGGGCGGCCGATGCACAAGCAGCGCTTCGTGTGGACCTCGGAGCTCCACCGCCGCTTCGAGGCCGCCGTCAACACGCTCGGCATCGACCACGCCAAGCCGCAGGCCATCTCGCAGCTGATGAACTTCGAGGGCGCGCCCACGCGGCAGAACATCCAGTCGCACCTGCAAAAGTACCGGGGGCTGATGCAGAAGCGCGCGCGGCAGGGCGGCGGGAGCGGCGGCGACTCGGCGACCAGCTCCGCCACGGGTGACGGCCCGGGCGCCGACAAGGCCGGCCCCTCCTCGGGCGGCGGGTCCGCGGGCGCATCCATTTCGCGATTCCACGTCGAGGCCATCGACGACGACGACCCCGCGCGGCACCTCTCGGCCAAGGAGTGATGTTATGATGCGAGGTGTAGAAGGGGGCGGGTTCGAGCTATTCTCTCGCGACGTCGACTAGTCCGAAGTGCGTCATCACATCGGCAAGCTCGTTTGCCCCTCTGTTGTCCAAGTCAGTCGTCCTAAAAAAAAATTTGTTCCTGTTACGAAAAAGGGAGCTACCCGCTCCGGCGACACTAGGGACTCGGGCCTGATCCCGCACAAAACATCTCCACACTCTCTCCTCTCCTATGGCACGACTCTCCGACCTTGGGCTAGATTCCCATGTTTCACCACAAGCGCCAAACTGCTTCACCGCGCGCTGCTGACAGCGTCAAGTGCGGCCCTTAGCTGAGTAGAACTCGAAGTGGGCGTCGAGGGGGCCTATAGTAGAGTGTGAGCCCGCGCGCTGCAAAGCTCGAGTGTGGGCGATGGCGCGAGCTGGGCCATGTACTAATTGCGTGTGACTGTTTCTGCCGTCTTTGAGGGGGCGTGGGCGTAGGAGTGGCGCTCTGCTACCCTTGCAGTCGAGCGCCTTCTCTCAGCTCCATTGCCTCTAGGGGGTTGTGGCCGTGGATTTGGCCCCCTAGCCCCCCTCTCCGAGAGCAGGCCTGTCCAGTCTGTGTGGGTGGGGCGGCGTTAGCGCCGTCGTGGCGTGAATCTTTCCTGCCGATGTTGGGGTGTTGCCGAGGTGGCGTGTCGGGGTGTCGCCGTACGCGGAGGGTAGGCGAGCGATGGTGGGGTTCCGGGGATTTGTCGAGGGTGGTAGTCGCCTCTGGTCGCGAGGTGTGAATGGAGCTGTGTGTCAGCTCTGACTAGATCTCGCGTGATATCCGCCGTGTTGGCGGTTTCAGATTGCTTCAGGCGCCGTGACTGATTAGGCTAGTGCCATTTCACTCTGACACGCTAATCTTGAAAACGTCTCCAACGGAGCTCCGTGTTGCTTCCAGCGCCCTCCCCCGCGCTCCCTGCGGCCATGGCCGATGCTCCTAGTATGATCGGTCATCTGGCTACCGCTAGAGCGACCCAACTCGTCGACATCGTCCGATGATTGTGCCTCAAAGTCAGCCTTCGGAGGCTATCGTGGGGTCGAGCCGGCGGTAGCCGTGACATGTGGTTCCACCACCCCTCGCAGGCTTTGCCTCTGAGCGCCACCGTTCCCAGGCTGCCTAATGGGATGGAAAGGAAGGCTCGTCACGTCGTAGCACCCATCCCCAATCTCGTCACGTCGTAGGTTTGTGTGCACCATGGCTTCAATGTGTTTTGCGCTTGTCGCCACCCCGCGCTCTTCCCGGCCGCCGCTGCCCTCTCCGTCCAAGCACCGGCTCGGCGCCGCCTGGACGGGCCTCTCACGTGCCCAACGAGCGTGTGCGACTTCATCTGCGAGCCCTCGGCCTTCGTGCAGACGCCGTGGCACCCACCTCAGGCGCCGCTCGGACTCGGTTGACGGCCTCCCAAGTGCTTGGCTCGTGCCCAGCCGACCGGCAGGCGATGCCCACTCGCTGCTAGGCTAATCTCGGGCTGTCAAGCGGCGGTGTGGTGCCGTGAAGGGCAGCGCGCAGCGGTGCCAAAACTACGACTATTAATTAGTACCGTGCGGGGGCAGTGCATTTAATTCTGTCAAAAATCGAAATGTGCCCCGTGGGACGTATTGGGCTAGGATCATACGTCCGGGAGGCCCCCCATGCGTGCCGCAACGACCCAGCGGTACCACTCTCTTCACGTTCACAGCTCTTTAAAAAAGTGTGCCATGAAGTGGGGGTATCCTCTGGCCGGTAGGGTGACGACCGCGATCTGGTGACGACCGCGCCTGCAGCCTCCTATATGGCCTCCCACCGCATCGGCGCGCGCGTCGCGGGCCTCTCGCCAGAGCAGCTGTGCGCCATCATCGAGGCGCAGGCGGGCGCGAGCGACGCCGCGCTGCGCGTGGCGGAGGAGCACGCCGCACGGCTCGTGGAGCAGCCCGAGTGGGTCCTCTCTGAGGTCCTCCTCTCGCCGGACCTCGTGCCGCACATCCTCGCCCAGCTGCCGACCAAGGCGCACGCCGCCAAGGGGACGTGCCGCGCGTGGCGCCGCGGCTGGAAGGAGACGCTGAAGACGCGCGAGAGGCCGCGCATGCTCGTGATCGGCGGCCACGACAGCGAGGGTGGGATTGTCAACTCGCTGGAGCGGTACGACCCGTCAACAAATGAGTGGCAGGAGGAGGCTGTGGCGCCGATGCCAACGGCACGCGCCGATGCCGGCACGGCGGTGCTCGATGGCAAGCTCTACGCGGCGGGCGGATGGCGTACGGAGGACGACGCAACTTCCAACCTGTTGGAGCGGTACGACTTGGCTACGAAAGCGTGGGAGGAGGTGGCGCCGATGGCGGTCGAGCGGTTTGCTCACGCCGTGGCGGTGCTCGACGACAAGCTGTACGCTGTGGGCGGCTTCAACGACGACGACGGCCACCTGAGCTCGGTGGAGAGGTACGACCCGGCGACGAACGCGTGGGAGGCGTTGGCGCCTGTGGGGACGGCGCGGTATAATCACGCCATGGCGGTGCTCGATGGCAAGCTGTACGCTGTGGGAGGCTACGACGGCGACGAACGCCCCCTCAGCTCGGTGGAGCGGTACGACCCGACAACGAATGCGTGGGAGGCGGTGGCGCCGATGGCGGAGGAGCGGGACGAGCTCGCCGTCGCGGTGCTCGACGGCAAGCTGTACGCCGTGGGAGGCCAGAACTACGACGACGGCCGCCTCAGCTCGGTGGAGCTATACGACCCGGCGTTGGATGCGTGGGACGAGGTGGCGCCGATGGCGGAGACGCGGGGGGCTCCCGCCGTGGCGGTGCTCGACGGCAAGCTGTACGCTGCTGGCGGGTGTGGTCACAACGGCCGCCTCAGCTCGGTCGAGCGGTACGATCCTGCAGTGGGCGCGTGGGAGGCGGTGGCTCCGATGACGGCGGCGCGGATGAAGGCTTGCGCCGTCTTGATGTAGTTTGCTGTTGTTTCTCGTGTTCCCTGTTCCTTCCTGTTCGCCGAGGCCCGAGCGTGTATATTGTGACCGAAAACGAGAGCAAAGAGGAGGGGTGTTGGGGGAGGTTTTATTGTTGTTTGTTCCTGTTCGGGAACCCGGCGAGCGCGTGCGTTGAAAACACCGCCCTGTTCACGCGCGCGCGAGACGTGCAGATGTTTTTTCTAAAATCTCTCTCTCAGATGACAGGGTTGCCAGGACCCAGGTGAGAGCGAATGGCGCGAAAATGTGTGAACGCACAGCTAAAATCTCGCGAAAAGGTGCTCTAAAATTGAAAATCCCCGGCCTGTACCCTGTACTGCGCGAAAAAAAAAGGTCCCACTCTGACGTATAGAGGGGAGGCACGGACAGCAGCCCAATCCATCAATTCCACTCATCTCCTGGTGCTCGGCCCCGTGCAACAGCGGTCCGGCAGGCTGCCCCCAAGGCCCCCCGGGCCGCTGCGGGTTTGGGAGTTATGCTTAGGCACAGCTTCGGCGATGGCAGCCCCTCTCTGGGGTGTTGCATAGGCGGGGAGTCTCCCCCGCTGGTCTCCTCCTTCCCATTTTTTTCTTTTCTTTTGAGAGCAGGACGCCGGGTTTGTCTTGTATGTGCGTGTCGGGCCTGGGTGTGTGTGAGGGGCAGAGGGGCGGGAGCGTGCGGGGCAGAGGCCCAACGTCGGGCGGCTTGTCGGGGTCCGGAGCATTCGAGGGAGGAACGAGGAGGGGGGAATGGGCGGTCGGCGTCGGGGTAGAAGCAACAGGGCGTACGGGGTAGCCGCCACTTTCCTGCCTCGCAAGGGCGGGGCTGTCCCGGAAAGTGAGAAACGCCGGGCAGCGTGGCGCATTACTGAACCCTCCCATACGTGCTTGTGCTCCTTGGCCTAAGCACGATATTCTCGAATATCTCCGAGAATATAGATGGTCCCGCGCACTTTCGTATTCGAGAATATTCTCGAGAATATAGATGCCCCGGCGCGGCTTTTTCTCAAGAATCTACGAGTTTTCTTCAGCCCTTGACCTTGGTTGACCTCTACTCTCAAGATATTCTTGAATATTCTCGACGTTACATCGCGGCGTCTAGAACGGTCTTGACTACAGCTTCTCGAAGCAGCTCTTTTGCCCCCTCAACAGTAGGTTTTGGGTCGATGCAGACGGAAATCTTAAAGTTTTGGACGTTCCTGAGCGGTTGGGAGCACAAACCTCTACTTTAGAGCGATTTTTGGCGTCCGCTGACCTCTCGCGTGGTGAAAATATTCTCAATATTCGAGAATATTCTCGAGAATATAGATGGTCTGGCGAGAATATAAGCAAAAGAATATAGATAGTACTTGGCGAGAAAAGCGTGCTTAGGCTAATGTGCTCCTCCTTCGCTGTCCCATCTCCTCATCTCTTTCCCGCCTGGGCGGGGCAGCGGGTGGGCCCGCGGTGAGGCGTGGCGTGTGAGTGTGTGCGACTGCAACGGCGGACCGCTCGCAAGAGACCATTGGGTTTGTACTATTAACAACGAAGGCGCTCTCAAAAAAAAAAGCAAGAAGGCACTACGACAATTCCGCTGGTGCGATGCGGTTGTTGTTCGCCGGCCCGGCCGCGCTGCTCCTGCTCCTCACGCACACCGTCAGCTGCAGCGGCCCCGGCCGACCGGTGCGCGCGCCGGCCACGGGCGGCTGGGTGGCGGTCGAAGGCCGGGTGGAGGGCAAGGGGCCCAGCCGGGCCGTCGCCGCCGCCGCATCTGCCGCTGCAACCGCCGTGCCCGCGGGGCGAGCCTCCGGCGCACGTGCGGCCGGGCGGCCTCCCGCGGACGGGACCAGCGCGATGACTGTCTACCTGCGCTCCGTCTCCCCGCGGCCGCTGCTCAACTCGGAGCAGGAGCTGGCGCTCGCGACATCCCTGCAGGAGGCGCTGCGGCTGCGGCGCGAGCTGAGCGTGCTGTCGGCGGAGCTAGGACGGCCGGCGCTGCCGGCGGAGGAGGTGGCGCGGGTGGGGCTCAGCTCGGCCGAGCTCGGCCGCAGGCTCCGCGAGGGCGAGGCGAGGACTCTCTCGCTCTCCCTGCACCCCTGCCTCTCTCGCTCTCCCTGCCTCCCTGCCTCTCTCGCTCTCCCTGCCTCCCTGCCTCTCTCGCTCTCCCTGCACCCCTGCCTCTCTCGCTCTCCCTGCCTCCCTGCCTCTCTCGCTCTCCCTGCCTCCCTGCCTCTCGCGCTCTCCCTGCACCCCTGCCTCTCTCGCTCTCCCTGCCTCCCTGCCTCTCTCGCTCTCCCTGCCTCCCTGCCTCTCTCGCTCTCCCTGCACCCCTGCCTCTCTCGCTCTCCCTGCCTCCCTGCCTCTCTCGCTCTCCCTGCCTCCCTGCCTCTCTCGCTCTCCCTACCTCCCTGCCTCTCTCGCTCTCCCTGCCTCCCTGCCTCTCTCGCTCTCTCTGCCTCCCTGCCTCTCTCGCTCTCCCTGCACCCCTGCCTCTCTCGCTCTCCCTGCACCCCTGCCTCCCTCGCTCTCCCTGCCTCCCTGCCTCTCTCGCTCTCCCTGCCTCCCTGCCTCTCTCGCTCTCCCTGCACCCCTGCCTCTCTCGCTCTCCCTGCCTCCCTGCCTCTCTCGCTCTCCCTGCCTCCCTGCCTCTCTCGCTCTCCCTGCACCCCTGCCTCTCTCGCTCTCCCTGCCTCTCTCGCTCTCCCTGCCTCCCTGCCTCTCTCGCTCTCCCTGCACCCCTGCCTCTCGCGCTCTCCCTGCCTCCCTGCCTCTCTCGCTCTCCCTGCCTCCCTGCCTCTCTCGCTCTCCCTGCCTCCCTGCCTCTCTCACTCTCCCTGCCTCCCTGCCTCTCTCGCGCTCTCCCTGCCTCCCTGCCTCTCTCGCTCTCCCTGCCTCCCTGCCTCTCTCGCTCTCCCTGCCTCCCTGCCTCTCTCGCTCTCCCTGCCTCCCTGCCTCTCTCGCTCTCCCTGCCTCCCTGCCTCTCTCGCTCTCCCTGCACCCCCGCCTCTCTCGCTCTCCCTGCCTCCCTGCCTCTCTCGCTCTCCCTGCACCCCTGCCTCTCTCGCTCTCCCTGCCTCCCTGCCTCTCTCGCTCTCCCTGCCTCCCTGCCTCTCTCGCTCTCCCTGCCTCCCTGCCTCTCTCGCTCTCCCTGCCTCCCTGCCTCTCTCGCTCTCCCTGCCTCCCTGCCTCTCTCGCTCTCCCTGCACCCCTGCCTCTCTCGCTCTCCCTGCCTCCCTGCCTCTCTCGCTCTCCCTGCCTCCCTGCCTC